TGAATGGAAATGTGCATTCTACAGGGTTCTGCAGTGAAGCGAATGAGATGGAAAAAACTTGGTTGTGCTTTGAGATTGCAGTTTTTTCCAGACAACAGAGAGCTCTTTGGAAATGAAAGCAATAAAACACATATTCACACTTTGATATGTGTTTCCTTGTGTTTTGTGTTTCAGTTCTACAGGCATGTTTGTATGAGTGTGGTAACAGCTGTGACCTACAGGTGGCATCATTGATCAAGAAGTTTGGTTCAGCTCCGCTGCAATAGCATTGTGTAGGGTAGTGTTCTGTAGTGATGCAAATAATAAGAAGCAGTGTGCAGAGCTGTGTTTGTGCTGTTTTGCACAAAATGAAAAATCATTTTTACTTTTAAACCAACTTAACCTGCACAAACTCTTCATGCAGACACATGGAACTACATTATGATTTTAGATAGCTCAGATATAAAACCTGAAGGAAGTACCAGTGTGTGTGTGAGACCTTATAACTCCAATAGATGACATAAAGAAGTGTTGKTAAAGGAATAAAGTCATTTCAAAAGATAATGTCAGAATCAGAATCACTTTTATTGCCAGGTATGTGAACACACACGAGGAATCTGACTCCTCTCTTAGTACAAACAGTAAAAAAAACAAAACAAACATAGACATAAACAAGGACAAAAGCTATGTACATGTAAGCTAAATAGGTACAAATACTGTATATACATAAATATCTGGTGTATAGAAGGAAATGTTTCTGTTCGTATTCTGTTCGTATTTGGTCTTAATCAATCACATAAAAATCTTGTATAGCAAATCTAAAGTGCTCTGCTTCTATCAACCAGCTTGATTAGATGATATCGATCCACTCTTCTTCTTATTCAGTGAAAAGTGAGAACAGTTATATTCAGAGGCACCATGACCTCAACTAAACACATAATAAAAATAACCCTGTCCTCCAGAGTTGTATTTTTTTCTTTCGTTGTCATAGGAAAATATTGATTCAGTCATTCATGCTGTTAAATACTCACTGTCCAAAGTCCAGGCCCTACACACACACACACACACACACACACACACACACACACACACACACACACGGCAGTGGGCGGGCCTTTACGCCGGTAAGGGGCGGAGCGCACCGAGGAGGCAGCCAGCAGATTAAACACCTCCTGTGAGCGTCTACTTGGCGCTGACCGAGCAACGAAACTCCTGAGGAGAGGAGACTTTTATCATGACAACACGAAAACCCCGCGGAAGAACACCGAGCTGAGGAGTCATGCTGCACACGTTGACTTTTTAGAGACGACAACCATGAGATCTGGAGGTTGGAGCGAGGCGACGTCCGCGCCACAACATGAGCCAGCTTCAAACTAGCGGTGCGCACTAGTTGTGTGGATCCGAGAGACTGTCAACAAACCGGGGATGATCCTCCTTTAAAACCTGCTTCCTTCAGCTGTGGTTATCGAACGTGTCATTGATGCAAAGTGTTGCGCGCAACGATGGCGACGACCCCTGCGCACCCGGAGACCAGGAAATTTACGCGTGGTCTGGGTAAACCCGGCACCGCGGCTGAGCTCAGGCAGAGCGTCTCGGAGGTGGTGAGGACGTCCGTGCTGATTGTAAGTACTCACCTCCTCTTCCTCACCCCCCTCTTCCTCCTTAATACTGTGTTATCATGTCTGGTTAAACCGCTGTGCGGCAGGAGGTCACCTGAGTTCTCACGCACATTGAAGAGGGTTTGGATCAGCCTGGTGGGAGCACATGTGGGCTTCATGGGTGAACAAGTACAGGTCATGAGTGAGTGACTCTGACCTGCACATGTGCCTCTAGTGTTTGTATGAGACACACAATGGATTGAAGAATGGAGTTAGTGGAGACTTCCACGTGGAATTTTGCTCTGGAGTTTTAAAATACTTTTCTTTGTAGCTTACACAGAACATTTGATACTCTCTACAAACTCTCTGATCAAATGCCACCAAGTCACTCCACACCTTCACTTTCATTCTCACTTCTTCCATTCATCCCAAGTGTCTTGTTTCCCACAGAGGCCATAAAGAATCAGTGCATGATCAAGGTGTTTTGTACTCTGTGTCTCAGGGAGGTACTGAGATGCCACATTACCTCCTCACAAGGGAAAGCATGTGGCTTCAATTTCACGCTCCAGGCCGTGTCCAGTGACATTGACATAATGCTGAATTGGACCGTCCACTTTGAGAACATCTGGGCAACGAGGACCTGCTCCGTAACTCCTCTGTATCAGCTTTCCACAGAGGAAGAGAGGAGTCGAGCCCTTTGTTGTGTCCGAGTGTGTTTGGGTGTTTGCTCCTTCTCCGTATGATCGCTCCTGTATTTCCAGGAAGAAGTTGCTAGGTGACTGAAACGGACACCGTCCAGGCCTCTCTGTCAGGGAAATGGAATCCTGAGTCAGGATCCCAGACATCCAACCACACCTTCGTATTATTTATTCATTCTCTCCCTGGTGAACTGCCAGACGCCAGAGGGAAGAGAGCAGGGATGGATACAAGTATGCATGTTGAGAAATCAGCAGGCTGGAGGAGTGCTGAGTAAACCTGAAGAGACTGTTATGGGACTTTCCTTCGTTTGTATCAGCAGGATTTCATTCGTTTGGTAAACTAGGCTGAAACTTTAGAATCAGGGAGTAACGGATTGAAAAAGTGTAGATTTTGCATTGTGGTCTTCTTACAATTTTTTATTGTCATTTTACATCCTTTGGTTGTTTTTTGGATTCTATTTCATGTCTCACTCTTCGTTTTCATCTCTTTGTTATAGTTTCTCGTCTCTGATCGTTTTGCATTTCTTTGTGGTGGTTGTGTTGTCGCTCTTTGTAAATATTTTGTGCAACAATGTGTCCATTTTCTTTGTCTTTGTGGTTGTTTCTGTGACTTTCCAACAAGAAATGTCTACACTCCATCCACTGGTTCTGGTCTGTGGGGCCCGTGCCACCTTTGAGCTGTCCGTCTGGCCCCGCCCCTGGACATGCGAGCTATAGGGATGGAGCATATGGACGGACGTGTTGTTGAGTTCAAGTGTTTACTGAAGCTTTTCAGTGGGACAAGAATGTGCCTGCACACACAAGACCTCTGTCTATGCAGTTTATAATGAATTCCTGCATGAAACATGTACACAGCACAGCAGGAATAGAGGGGTGTGTCGCCGGGACAATAAAGGGAAGATTGTGGCCATCGTCACCCGGTCTGATTCCTATGATAATGTTTTTTTTGACTTGTATTTTTTCTGTCTTTGAAAGCATTCAGAAAAACGTAACTTCAGATGATCGTACAGACATTTCTACGTATCAGGCAGAAATTTCAAGTCAAGTGCACCGTGCTTGTTGTGCATTTTCACCAAGACTCACGCTGGCCAGAGCCTCTTTGTTTATTGTTGGAGTGGAGAGCAGAGAGACGTGTAACAGGCCAGAGCGCTCAGCTGAGCCATCCCCCCGTCTCTGTCTCCCCCACTTCAGCCTGAGAACACTGTCATCCACTTTGAATTTGTTTTCCAAGCATAGTTGCTACACAAGACACTTCCCTACCACCTTCACATTAATTAGAGTTAGTTGTTAAAGGTAGGGTTGGTAAATTGTTCCTGAAACACTTTTTATCTTTGTTGACATCCTCTTCACGTCCCGATAACAAATATAGAAAAGCTGTTGTCTGTGGTCTTCACAGTGCTGTTATATTTTGATCAGAATTAAATGATCATTGGACATACTGGTAAACGGCTCCCTGCCACCTACCGACCTACCTGTCTGTGTGCACGCTGCCTTCAGCCTGAGAATCATACACCATGACCAGCTGGTCACTGAAAAGAAAAAAAAGCTTGTGAGGATGCATTTGTTTTGCATTTGATCGCTCTTGACGGCCTGCAAACATCGTTAATGTATTGGCTCATGGGCATATATCCAATCGATGACAGTTGGGGAATGTTTAGGTTGTGTATACAGTGTGTGAAGCAGCTGGGGGGCAGTTGTGTAATTGTAATCAATAGTTCTAACTGCCTGCCACCTACTGGTGACGCACTGAGATCCTGAGTGCTCCTGCCGTGTGCCTGACCCACACATGGGGAGGGATGTACACCAGATGGGTGTTATTATGTAGGAGTGACGCCATTAAGTGTCCACGGCAACACACACACACACACACACACACACACACACACACACACACACACGCGCACACACACACACACACAACCGACACACTGTGCGACCGTGAGGGAAAGTGGAACTCTCCTGTGTGTGTGAGAGAAACAAACATTACAATGTTGGCAATGCAGACGACCATCAACAGAGTACACATGTTGCTACTTAGCCTTGTTGTTGGGCATTAAAACTTTGTGGGAAAAGTCCCATTTGCAGGCTGAGCTGCTCTGACAGGATTCTCTGTGCCTCATGGGAGCGTTTTGTGTTTCTGTAAATGGCCGATGGACAATATAGATGCGTTTTAATCTGTTTGGCAGGTGTGCAGCATTTCCTGTCTTATGTTTCCTCCCAATAAAAATGTTGAGAAGCTGAGGTCATTCATCCTCACTTGATGCATGCACAACCTCTTTTACCTCCTCTTACCTGAGCCGTGTGTGACTTTACATTTTGTTTACTCCAGTCAAACATTGCTGCAGTGCTTTGAAGAGAATGTAGAGGTCAACATCACAAACCACAGCCTCGTCTGCTGCTTTGCAAGTTAAAATACAGTATGCTTTATTTTCATAAGCTCTCTTGATCTATTCACCATTACCTCAGGTGTGTATTTTTCAACTAACTGTGACATGGACATTTTACAACTCCTAGTTTTGCCAGAACATGTTTGTGCTGATCATTAGCAGAGATGAAGTCATGTTGTCTCATGACCTGAAAGCTTGGGTTTGTTCGTCATGCCACTCAACAAAAAATGTGTTTGGTAGATTTCAAGATTCACCTTGAAGAACCAGTCTTAGTGGAGTGATTATAATGGTAAAAGTTTGAAATCTCTCATCATGTATCATTGGTTCTACCAAATTTGCTAGAAACTAAAGCGGATGTCATATCGAAGCAGTTGGAAGATAACAGGCCTGTTGGTCGTGTGAGGCCGAAGCAGCCTGACCACTCTCTGTATTCCTCTGACTCAGTATGTTGGTATCAGGGCGCATAAGTTGCCTTTGTTCGCGTGACAGTAAATGCTGCTCCTGAACAACAAACCCAGGGGGGTAGAGATGGGAGCGAGTTCTCTGAACGGGTCAATAATACATGAGGCTGCTCTTGTAACCAGTGCACCCATTAAATGCTCTCTCTTTCCTCTGCTGACGATTGTACAAGCACAACACTTTGAGAGCCAACAGCTCATCTTTGCTGTTACTTTCAGTCCTATCAGGGCAGGTTCTACTCAAGAGAGGTTCCACAGGTTTTTAAAGGAAGGCGTGGGGAGAGATGCAGAGATACTGCATGAGGTGAAAGGGACAGGTCTAAACAGGTGTACTGAAAATCACAGGAAGTTACTTATTGTACTTATCAACACGCTTGCAGCAATTTCTGCATTTCCTATACAAGTTTTAACTGCAAATTTCACTAAACCATTGAAAACTAGATCAGTGCCTGTTCGGAATGGATTGTTGGGCCTGTGGTTGCAGCTTTGCAAAACTGTAAAAGTGACCTGCAGTAATTGAGCCGCAGCAAGTGAAGACCGGCTGCAGGACTCATTACACAGAACCTGGAAGCTGCCCCTTGACTCAGTATGCAGAGCTCTGAACTGGTGAATCCGTTGTCATGAGCGCACCAGTTGTTGTGCTCGACAACATCACTTACATTGATCAGTCCCAGCTGCTGCTGCTACAGAGCGCCGGTCTCCTGTTTATTCAAAGTGTCAAAATCACAACATGCGACACTGCACTTCCTCAGGCCCTTAACAATACACATGCCGCCTGTGAAGCCGATAATATGGACTTTTCTAGAGATATCTGAGACACAGACAGATATCAGGAATTATAAGATCGATAACGGAAAGACTATTTGATAATGTGAACAGTCATTAGTTGCACGGCTAATGTTTACTATCACTCAGTTTTAGGAGGAGGGAGAAGTCCTGGTGTGGTATATTCAGATGACTTGTTGTCATGTGGAAACTTGGGCAGAGTCGCTTCTACCTAACAACCATGGAGACGAGACACAGCATCTGTTATAGAGTTTATGGTCTCTAAATGTTTTTAAGTGAATGCTCCAAATGTGTAAATGCATCTCACAGTAACCAAAGTGGAAAAGTTTCAACTCTGCGAGACCCAAGCACTGAGCAGTGACACATGGTTTGCGGGGCGAAGGCTTCAAGGAAAGTGAGAAATGAAACACACCCATCAAACTCACTATAAAATGTGTCTGCTTGGGTTTGGGCATGCCTCTTGGCAGTTGTGGTTTTAATCTAAACCAGATTCGCCACTCTCTCAGACAGAGTGGGAAACTGGAGAGATCTCCTCAGCTGAGCACATATCGGGATAATATAGAGCACTCTGTCAGAAACCGAAAGGATTTCCTCCGTCCAGCTCGGACCAAGTCTGGTTAGTGCACATAAATCCTGCGGTAACCAAGCCAACGCAAATGATCCGGTGGCCAGACAGACAGATTTCATTCCAGTGC